ATATGTTGGTGTACGTGAGAGAACGTTCGCAGTCCTCCCTAGATAGCGACGCTCAATTGCCTTACAGCTGCGAACAAACAGAATCCGCACCCTCGAATTCGTAAGTTAACACGTTTATTCTATATCGTTACCCAGATAGCATGGACACGTAGCTTGCATTTTCGAAACTTTGTGCAACGGATTTTCATCCGTTTAGAGTCGATGTAGTTGGAATTATCGCTAAAAATTAATTAAACTAGAGATTTCGAGATTTAATTTGAGCCCAAGTTGGACTCACGTGCTCCAATGCTAGCAAATTTATTAGCAATTGAAATTTCATAAGATTCTACTCTTATATTTGCAGATCAATAATGCAGCTCGTCCGCGAGATAGAGGATAACCAAAAGTAAGTATCGAATATATTATTTCTAGTAGTAGATCGCTTGTATTTGTAGCATAACGTTCTGATACTTTTTTTCTCTTTACAGAACACTGACTCAAGTAATGGAACGCATAAATGTCAATCAAAAGTAAGTATTTATTATGTCGAATGTATCAACTTGAAATACTACCTCCTTCTTCATCATCTTCAGACTAATGCTGACTGAATTAAAAAACAGGGTACCGCGTCCACCATACTTCCCTTTAAAGAGGTTAAAAGATTTTATAGATGTGGACCAAATAAACGATGAACAGTTCAGTGACCTCGTAAGTGAAACAATAATTAATGTAATGTATGTATATATATTTATAGTAATTTTCTTTCTTTAGGTCGCATATTATAAGTCGCTGGGCGGTGTTACGTTAGAGGAAGCGGTGACCATCTCCTTAAATGAAAGTATGACCGAATACGTAATTAGCCACTTAACATGGCTTGGAGATCGATATGGCACAGAAGCACTCAACGTGTCAAAAATCACTTCCGCTATATACGGTCATTATCCTATTTATAATGCGATCGTGTATAATTAGTCATATAATTCCTAATATTGTGTGGTATTTTTAATTTGCAGAGGCAATGAAAGGAAACAATCATTTCGATCCGCCAACAAAATCAGAGTTCAAGATAGCAATGGTGGCGGCGTTAAAAGACATTTGGTATGGAAGAACGGCGGGCAAAGCTCGCGGAAACGTCACGCAACGGGACCCTTGGGATGACGATGAATAAATCGCATCCAGCAAAGGTAAGACTAGTAGATCTCGAAGTTACAAATACAATTTTTTCATTGTATTAATATGTGAAACTGATTGTCCTAGCCATCGTGCATTGTCGCCGGGGTGCCCGAGATGGACACGGACGATTTCATTCAGTCTTCCTTCTTCCCAATGTTAGGTCCATTGTTTTTGTAATTGGAAGAATAAAACTTCTATTTACGATATACCTTTATGTTTTTCATCTTTCTGCGTTTTTTTTTGGAAATTGTTCAGAATGCAAACTTTTGGAACTAGGTCCTTTAACGTAGTAGCAGAGAGAAACCGAGAGTGCTGAGTTCCGGTTTTTCGCATTCACCCATACTAGTACTGCACCTTGCGGTCAATTCGGGGGTCCACCGTAGTATATGCCAGAACCTCTTTAGAAGAGATCTACACTGTTTAGTTTTACCGTAGCATAGACAGCAATCGAATTCAAGTCCACCGTAGCATTGATAGTATACATAGAGTACAGAAGCCAACCGCAAACGTGAGTCGCAAATAGAAAG